GAGGGGCACCTGCCAATATCCTTTGGTGAGGTCCAAGGTGCTGATGTATCGAGCCTTGCCCAGCCGGTCCAAGAGCTCATCCACCCGCGGCATGGGATAGCCGGCAAAGGCAGAAACTTGATTGACCTTCCGGAAGTCGTTACAGAACCGGAGGGTGTTGTCCGGCTTTGAAACCATCACGATGGGGCTGGTCCACGGGCTACGGGAGGGCTCGATGATTCCTAGTTGGAGCATCTTCTTGACTTCCTCCTCTATAGCCGGCCGGCGAGCTTCCGGTATCCGGTATAAACCGCTCCACCAGGCCATCCGTCTGCGGGTGGTAGACCGACGTCCTCAACTGTTGGATCTTGAGGAGGTGAAAGATGTCCGCCATGAGCCTGTCTACCTCATCAATGCGGCGCACTTGATCCCAGCAGTTCCGCAGGCGGTCGTCCTCGCGTTGTTCCCTGCCGAACGAGCCCCCGGTCGTGACCTGGGAAAACACATCAAGGTAGACAGATGGTAGATTAGCGTGCTGACACTCACCCTCCCTCTCGCTGTCCGTCGCTAGGTAGGCCGGCCTTGGTCTGGGCGGTCCCCGACGGGGTCGCCGTGGCCCATTCCGGGTGGTACGGCCTGGCATCCTGGGTCCGAGGAGGAGCTTCTGGAACCCCGGCCAGTCCCGTCCCAGGAGCAGAGGTACGGGGAGATCCGGCACAATGCCCACCTCGATGGCCCAGGTCCCGGGCTCCGCTGAAATCCGCACTGTACGGGCCGGTACATAGCGGGTGTCTCCGTGCACACACGTCAGCGGCAACTGGGATTTCTGCTCGGGCCTGGGTCGTACCAGGGACGGTTGCACGAGGGTGACTGAACTGCCGGAGTCCAAGAAGGATTATTGCCCACACACTGATCACACGTGCTCTAATGAATGGTGCTCGGTGCCCGTCTCAGCGTGGTGCTCGTGGGGTGAAGTGCCGTGGTGCAGATCCCTCTCCCAGGGTGCCTTCGGAGTCTGTGAACAAGGAGAAACAAGCATTAATGTCGCCTGGAGCTCCGGGGTGCCTTCCCGCTGGTGTCTCTTCTCCTGGCTTTTATGGCCAGCGGGAACGAGCTCCAGGTGCGCCACTCATCACGCACAGGTGTTGTGCTTCGGTGATCAGTGTGGCAGCGGCGTTTCCAGGGCGACGCTAATCTGGACTCGGGATACTCGCCACACTATCTATCTATCTATCTATTTATCTATCTATCTATCTTGTCTGTGTGTAACAGTAATGACACAGTGAAATTACATTGTTGGAATCACTTTGAGAATGATTTTTCTATTTGATGAACGATAAAAACTTTGACAGCCAATCAGAATCCTTGAACATTTAAAGTGGCAGATGACAAACCAGCAACGCAGGCTTATAATAAAAGGAAGGATTGTCTATTGGTGTGGGCACTAATATAGTCAGTGTTACAGTTATCTTCTAGCATATATCTAATATATAATATAATATTGTTCTTGGTGTGAATGGGCTAATAATCTTTAAACATATTTACTTTAACTGTACAATAAATCATCAAATCTTTAAATTATTTCAATTCAATATTAAAAGCATCTTATAGAGACCTCTTATAGAGATTGAGCCCTCATCCAAGCAGGCAAAAACAGTCGTTTATGAACATGTCTGTTTGTTGTAGTTTAGTCTCTCAGAAAACTGGGGCTTGAATGGGAAACAGTTAAAAATGCCTGTGTAATTTTCCATTGAGCTGTAAGAGGGGTTCTGTGTTGTTTTTATGACACACACGGGTTGTTTTACAGGAAGACAGTGTGAGAGAGATAGACAGGGAAAGTGAAAAAGAATGTGCGAGGGAGAAAGACAAGTGATGAAGATTTGGAAGTCTTTGATGAGTGTTTGTTTATTTCAGAAGGCCGGAAATAGTCCTGGGTTATGTCTCGTCAGCAGTACATCCACAAAAGTGGTAATTTAGGCCTAAAATTTAAGTTTGTTTTTTTTACAGGGGCCACTTCATTTCATTGTGATTGCTTTTAGAAGGTCTTGTTTTCTTTTCCACGGATAGGAAATAACAGACCTACAATAAAAGAGGAAACCGTTAACTGAACTGATTTGTTAAACCATTTACTCTCACCTTATAGGAACTTTTTTGTCATTCAAATGAATGTTATGCTTTTCAGCGATCACTCAGTTTCCAAATCTAAATACATAAACTGCGGATGGACAAACATATGTACAAGAATTATATCAACACAAAACAAACAAACCAACCAACCACCATGTATGTGTGCAACCATGAAGCAGTGGTGGAGCTTGATTTTTTAGTATGTGGGAAAGTGAGTAGGCCTGTCTCCAGAAATTGTATAAAACCTTATATTTCTGACAAAATTTAGCCAGTTTGTGTATTTTTTCTGCATGGCACCAACAGCACCTATTGAAGCTCCGCTGTAATTCTATAGTCATACTTAAGGATACACACTCTCTTTCATTCTCCCGCCAAGTTTGCTCAAGTTATGATCCTCATAGAACATTTACAGCCATTGAACTGACAGAAGCAACAAGAACTTCGGAATTTGGAGTTATTATTATTTAAATTATATGTATTCTTTTTTAGTTTGTGCGTGTCTGACTATGTTTGCATATGTGCATGAATGCTTTATGCCATGTGTTTTGGTCTTTGCAAGTGATTTTGTTTTCGCAAAATGTCATTGCATCTTTGTTTATGCTTGTGGATTTGATATAAAAATCGAAAAATACAGGCCTTGCTTTAGGCGGTTCTTTCTATGCTTCCTCCCACTGTGATGAAGGTTTGCTTGTAATACATTGATCTGTCCACTGCAATCTTTTATTTTCTTTCGTATCTGGAAGTTATTCTGCCATGTAGGCTATAACTGAATTGATGGTGATGCTTATTCATAACAGTTGTTTATAATCGTGTATATATTTAGGTGGTTATGTGCCTTCATCATAAAATATGTTCCTACTAGGGGGTGTAGATGTGTGCAGAGCTGTGGTTGGGGGGGCTGCGATGTGCTGCGCTCTGGAGTTTGGCATTGTGTTTATTAGCGGTCGACTGGTTAAAGTCACTGAGCACTTGTTGGTTTGAGTGGCAGGTGGGCAGATGGCTTGGAAGAACTATTGTGAAAGGAAAACAGGAAAGATCTTTGACTTGAACTTATAGTATATTGGCTTAAAATGGCCAATATATTCTATGAGATCATTTCTTTTGTTTTTTGTTTTGAAAAAACAAAATGATTAAATGATTAAAATTATTACAATTCTTAGAAATTAAGTTTTAAAATAATATTTAATGCTCATATGTGATTTTCTGCTACTATCATGCAGTATTTTATCCCCCTTAAACCCCAAAACAGTTCTGTTGGTTAATCAAATTGTTAATGGGTGCGCTATTCAGTGCTTGATTATAAATTCTAGTATTCCTAATTTTACTTGCATAAAATTACGATGCAAAGTCTGCATAATTTATTTGTTTAAAAATACAGGGAAAACTGTGTAATTATGTGAAATATGATTACTATTTTCTATTTTAATATTTTAAAATGTACTTTATTCCTGTGATGCAAAGCTGAATTTATAGCAGCAATTCATTCTTCAGTGCCATATGATCCCTCAGAAATCATTCTGATATGTTGATTTGACAATTCTTATTATTTTCAATGTTGAAAACAGTTGTGATGCTTTATATTTTGTGGAAACTATGATACATTTTCCCCAAATTTTTTAAGAAATAGAAAGGTCAAAATGACAGCATTTATTTGACATACTGTAGAAATCTTTTGTGACATTAAACATGTCTTAACGTGTCAGTCACTTTTGATTAATTTAATGCATCCTTGCTGAATAAAAGTATTAATTTCTTTAAAAAAAATTTACTATAAACATTCTGTTTTCCATGTTCTACAGTGTATAAGACTGATATCATAGCATGCTGATATGTTCCCTATAAAAAGTATGCGGCACTTGGCATCAAAGTTTGTGTTCAGTGTACATTGTGAATGTAAATCGCCCCAGGTTCACTTGACATTTGCAAAAATGTATATTTTAAACAAAAAAATGCAAAGCTAATGTGATGATGGCAGTTCCCTAGATCTGAATAAGGAGCATATTAAACACTATGACACACAGAAACACGAAAGTCTTTTCTGTGAAAATGCTGAGTTGATTAAGGTATCCAGAAGTAGTTTTTTCACTAATGAAAAACAAGTCAAAGTGATTTTCTGTGGTAATTGACTGCAGGCCACAGATGCTGTCTGTAGAGATTACGTTTTTATTATTTAATCCAAAACATATCAATATATTCCTTTGATATGCTTAATATCTCAATTATTTCACTTTTTGCTCCTGCTGGAAGCTAGACGGCTTGGCAGTTGTGGTTCTCAAGAACACTATAAATGGCTGGAAGGCAACAGAGGTTGAACCCAGCCTAGTATAAATTATTGGGCTCTGCAGGAAATCATCATGAATCATTGGCCTGATTTAGAATCCTGGACACTTTACCGTTAAAACAGACACAATGCTGGATTTGTGCTTTGATGTGGTTCTGCTGGAGTTTGCATATAGTTTTGTGATGTGGTCCATGTGTGGCAAAAGAACCCAAATGATTTTTAAAGTGCACATTTAAAGTGCTGGCAGAACATCCTCCGGTCATCCACCTCTAATATAAAGATAAACTAATGCAAATATAAACCTGACACAGAATTGAAAATGCCCAATAAGTACTCATTTGGCCACAATAACTGGTTTATATCTAACTAAATATCTTGTTAAAGACATGCTGTAATTATTAAGATCTTCAATTGTATTCACTATTTAATTCTGTTATTTTGATGTCGAATAAAAAGCCCTGTCATGGGGAAATCCAGACCAGATGGTGAGCTAATGGTCTCTCTGTTCAGACATTTGTATACAGATCTGTATGCTCTATATCCTACAAGCTTTAAATTAGCTGTAAACATTTTGTCTTCATGTTTAGGTTTGATTGTAGTGCCAAAGGAAATTCCCAGAGACACCAAACTCTTAGACCTGCAGAACAACCGCATCACAGAACTGAAGGAGAATGACTTCAAAGGACTTACAAACCTCTATGTAAGACACTGATGGGGATCAAAGAAATGAGAACTAGAGAGGGTGAAGGTCAAGCAGTAAATTCTACTCCCCTTTAAAAGGGATAGTTCACCCAAAAATGAAAATTCTGTCATTAATTACTCACCCTCATGTCATTCCAAACCCATAAGACCTTTGTTCATCTTCAAAACCCAAATTAAGATATTTTTGATGAAATCCGCGAGCTTTCTGACCCTGCATAGACAGTAACACAACTACCACGTTCAAGACCCAGAAAGGTAGTAAGGACATTGTTAAAATAATCCATGTGACATCAGTGGTTCAACCTTAATTTTATTTATGGTACTCTGAAACGGAAGACAAGATATTGTTGAATAAAGTCGTTACTTTTGTTTTCTTTGCACATAAAAAGTATTCTCGTAGCTTCAGAAAATTACGGTTGAATGTCTGATGTTACATGGACTGTTTTAATGATGTCCTTACTACCTTTCTGTGTCTTGAACATGGTAGTTGCTGTCTATGCAGGGTCAGAAAGCTCTCGGATTTCATCAAAATTATCTTAATTTGTGTTCCGAAGATGAACGAAGGTCTTACGGGTTTGAAATGACATGAGGGTGAGTAATTAATGACAAAATTTTCATTTTTGGGTGAACTAACCCTTTAATAATGGGATAAGTGAGAAAAATACATATAGATGAGGCTGAATTTAAAATACAGTTCATAATACTGTAAATTTATGGATGGTTTCTTGTGCTGTTCACTGATGTGTGCCAGTCTCACAGCTTGATTTTTTGTTTTTTTATTCGCCGTTGGCTGATGCAGCCCATCAAGCTCCATATTAGCTAAATATGTCGCTATTTACTTTAATGCTGTAGATTTAGATGTTCATTTAGATTGAATATTTACATTTTTATGTTATACATTTTACATAAGAAACAACGAGACAAGCATGTTTTGGCTAACTCTTTGAAAAATTGGTCTGTCGTTTACAGCACGCAGTACTTTACGTTTGGCACTCTGTGCAAAACAGCCTGACAGGATGTTCAAACAGTTCAAGTCTCTGAAGAAGAATGCTCCTGTAGTTCGGGAAACACACGCCGGTGCCAAACTGAATGTTTTAGTTCTCTTCTTAGAACTCATATTATCCCCAATATTTATCCCTAATATTTACTCAGCCTCTCTCACCAAACACAATATTTGACATGGCCTGTAAAAGAAGAAGAAGAAGAAAAAAATAACAAGACATTAAGTTATAACATCATTTATAAGTCATTTGATTTTGTGTACATATTTAATGCTCATGGTCAAGCTATTATTAATCATGTCTTCATGACTTTCTATGAACCAAATGCTAACGTCCTCCTGTCTCCCGCCAGGCTCTGTCACTGGTCAACAACAAGATCTCCAAAGTCCACCCGCGAACTTTCGTACCCCTCCTACACTTAAAAAAGCTTTATTTTTCCCGTAACCTCCTGACAGTGGTACCCAAGAACCTTCCCCCATCCCTGGTGGAGCTGCGCATTCATGACAACCGTATTAAGAAGGTTGCAGAAGGAACGTTCTCTGGTCTGGGCAGCATGAACTGCATTGGTTTGTATGCGCGCTCGCCATTATGTGGTATAGAGGTTACAGTCTGACCAAACCATTTCCTTTTTTAGATGGAGCCTGCTGGTTTTTGTGATGGGATATTCTGTCTGATGTTGAATGCTTCTTATAGAGATGGGCGGAAACCCTATTCAGAACAGCGGCTTTGAGCCTGGCGCTTTTAAAGGCCTGAAACTCAACTACCTGCGCATCTCTGAGTCCAAACTCACTGGAATACCAAAAGGTGATTCTTTAGAATAATCATAAAAATCATTAAAGAGTGAACATTTTTCTCGTATTTATTTTCAGAAAGAACATTTGGATAATTACTCTGTGCAATTTCTCACTTGAATGAGCTTTAGGAATATCTTTGGACATAAATCACAATTTGCATGAGCTTTAATGTAATGTTAAGAGCAGAGACGAGGTGCTACTTCCAATTATATAATGATGAATGTTCCTCTCCTTCCAGACCTCCCTGACAGTCTTCACGAGCTCCACTTGGACAATAACCAGATCCAGGCCATTGAACTAGAGGACCTGAGCCGCTATAAACACCTGTACAGGTGAAGCCACTCATGACTCTCCTGCACTTCAACACACAACATGCCTTTTCCCAGTCTGTGGACTCGCTATAAAGCAACAGCGCCATCTGGTGTATGACAATTTAATGATGTGGGGGGATAAAACAAAATGTTTACTGTAAGTTTAGTTTAGTAGAGACAAAATCTTTTTATACAAAATACACAGTTAAACTTGTTTGCAATCATACGTGATTATAGCCTATGTTTGTCATCTTAGGTTCCTGAAAATCTATTATTCTGTGCAATCTCTTTATTTTTACTGAAAACAGCTGCAGTCATTTCACTCAAAGTCAAGGATTATCCTTTAAATTGCACAAAAATCACAATTGGCAGTTTAAGTTGTGTAATCTCAAAAGTGTTGTTAACTAAAACTATTGTGCTGACAAAAGCTTGCAATGAAACAAAATTTTTAAATAAATTAAGAAAATGGATGTTTGCAAAAACTAACTTGAAATTGAAGTGTACATTATAACAAACTAAAAACAAATAACACTACAGAGAAAGTTTTTTTTTTTTGTTGCATTTTTAGTAAATTCTAGATGGTCTGACTTTAGTAGAGTTGGGGTACATGGACTCAGACTTGGACTTGGACTGGAATTATGAATGAATTCGGATGCACTTGGGCAGACTCATACTCGAATTCGACACATACTCTGACATTTTGGACTAAGCCAAAACCAAAACATGCGTAATATGAAAGATACAAAAAATAAGTCACAAAATAAAATAAAGAAAACAAGACATTATTAACAAGATATAAACGTCTCTCACCAAAACTCAATTGGTTAATGTCTTGGACTCGACTCAAATTCGAAAAATGTGGACTCTGATCAAATACTAGTAACTAGGCAGAGTGGGATTGTCTGATGTAACACAATGTAACACATGTAATACAACCTACCACTATTTGATGATGATTGGTCTGAAATCACAATAATAACCCAGCGTTCAGCAGTCAAGTTAAGCCATGGAACAATGCAAAGACAACACAAAACAATTCATTCTCATATGGTCAATCCAAATGGCCTCAAACTAAATTTGTAACTATATTTAAAAGATTATACGGCATGAATTTGTTAACTTTGACAAATCCAGTGACTTGCTCTCCTGTGTGGGCCATCTGACGGTGCTGAATCATAGATGCCCTAGAGATGCCTGAGTGATGGCAGTTACAAATTTACTGCTAAATGTACCTGCAATGGCACATTTAATTAAACTGCAGCTGTTTTGATATACAGTAAACTTGACAAATGACTTTAATAATTTTGTTGGTGTTATTTATTTATTGTATTTCATGCACAATTTGTATGTTATATGGGATGAACACATTAAGGAATTTAAATAAAACAAAAAATTATTTTCATTATGCATCATTAAAGCAAACTTAAACTAAACTGATATTAAAAATCCAAATAATAGTGAAATAATAACCCTGATATTGGTCTAACTCATGCAAATCTCTTATTGCAGAAAAACCCTGCATGTGCTGGATTTTTATAGTGCAGCTTGTCCTGCGGGGCTGCAACTGACCCAGTGCCTGTTCACAGTGTTTCCAGTCTATTGTGTTTCCACCTCACTAGATGCCTGTCACCATGTGTGTGGCCCATCTATTGTCTGTTGCTTATTCATTGCTGTGCTTGCGCTTGTTTGCCAGATTGGGTCTGGGTTTCAACCACATCCGGATGATTGAGAAGGGCAGCCTATCATACGTCCCTAATCTCAGGGAGCTGCATTTGGAAAACAACCGGCTGACCCGCGTCCCCATGGGTCTGCCAGACATGAAGTACCTGCAGGTGTGAGATATCAAACATGAACAAAAAGTGTCCCATTCACAAATGCACGATCATTGATTTTTGCTTTGTTTTTCAGGTGGTCTACCTTCATTCCAACAACATAAGTCGAGTGGAAGTTAATGACTTCTGTCCTCTGGGTTTCGGCATGAAGAGGAGCTTCTATAATGGCATTAGCCTCTATGGCAACCCGGTTAACTACTGGGAGGTACAGCCTGCCACCTTTCGCTGCGTTGGAGACCGACTGGCCATTCAGTTCGGAAACTATAAGAAGTAGAGAATGGATGAAAAGAGAGATTTGGGGACAAATAACAATGCTGGAATTGAAACAGAACAGAAAAAAACTTGGAGAAGGTGGGCCAAAATGGTGTCAACAAACAGTGTTTGCAAATCATTTTTATTATGTATCTTTGGATGGAAGTCTAAAGGTTCACACCAAGTATGTTAACTATAATGATAAAGATATAGTTTTAAAAATGAAATGAAATTTAAAGAATAAAATTAGAAGTATAGCACAGTCCGCACCACAACTATAGCGATAACTTTTGTTGGAATCACTATCAGGCCGATTTTATTCAGCAGATGAATGATAAAAACATTGACAGCCAATCAGAATCCACATTTTAAAGAGCTCAAGCATTTAAAGGGGCAGACAACAAAACTGCAGCATCCATATAATAAACAGAATGTTATCATCTGTTGGTGTGAATGCTAATGTAGTTATAGTTATCGTTATCTTTATAGTTATCAGTCTTGAGGCGAACAGGCCTGAAAGAGAAAAGGAAGGAGCAATAAAAATAAGTCATGGAAACTTCAAAAAGAAATTTGATCTCTTACAACTGGCTCAAAACTATAATAATGGTCATTGTTTTTTAAGTGTTTTACAGTAAAGTCTTAACATTATCAGTTCACTTTTTAAGGGCTCTTTGTTTGCTTGACAACTTTATAATAATATTATTGATATGTACTGTTATATTGTTATTATTTTATATTAGTGTATGTTGTTTTTTTAACGGTGAAGTTTGGATGGAATGTTGAAATGGGAAGGTTAAATCTAGATTCTCTAAGATAAATCTAGAAATTCATGGTGCTTATAATAAGTGTATCTGTGTTGTTTGTAAAAATTGTGGCTTGCGTTTTTCTCCAAATTTGCCTTGCTTCCTTGCTTCAGGGGTCTTATTGTTGTGGGAGTACTTTAGGGCAATGGAGGACCTTTACACAGAGACAATATAATTGTGTCGTCGAGTTTCATTCAGCCAAATGCCTCATGTTCTTACCCAGACCTTTTGGGATCGAGGCTGATTCAGAAAAGGATTGTAATGCTATGTTGTTTTGCACAGTTTCTCTATGAATTTCAAATCTTTTCTTTGTAGCGTGTTGTTTTTCTCATGTTTTCTTTGGCAGTGACCCTGCATGCATTTACGCTAGTGCACCGCACACTACTGCATGTTCCAATAAAATATCTTTCAGCTTGACTTCAGGAGCAGAAGTGGTGTACCATCATGGTTTGAAAGCTGTGACTAATAAAACTTGAGTTAACACGAGTTTGAGTTCAGTGAAATAAAACATTTGAAGAATGTCTCCTCTTTTCTCAATAAAGCCAAATATCGATTGATTGCATTATCAAGCACAATGTCAATGGATCACTCTACTTGTTGCAAACCATGTCAGAGAAATTCCAGATTTTATACATAAAAATAAAACAAAATTATGAAAACATTGTGGAAGATGTATTTATGTATCTGAGTACTTCTTGTATGATTACGTTTCTGTATATACATGGACAAAAGTATTGAGACACACAATTAACATCTTAATTACTGAATTCAGGTGTTTCAATTGCCGCATGTATAAAATCAGGCATCTAGCCATGCAGCCTCCATTAAAATTTGCAGTAAGTCAGTTCATGAAATTTCATCCCTGCTAGATATTCCATAGCCAACTGGAGGTGGTATAATTGGAAAGTGGAAGCATTAGGAATAGCAGAAGACCAAATAAAGTCACAGTTCCAAACTTCCACTGGCATTAATATAACCGCAAAACTGTGTGGCGGGAGCTTCATGGAATGGGTTTCTATGGCTGAGCAGCTGCATGCAAGCCTCACATCACCAAGTATAATGGCAAGCATTGGATGGAGTGGTGAAAGAGAATGGCACATGCCACTGAACTCTGGAGCGGTGGAAACCTGTTCTGTGAGACTCGCGTCTCTCTGTTTGGCAGTCTGATGGGCGAGTCTGGCTTTGGCAGATGCCAGAAGACCATTACCTGCCTGACTGCACTGTGTCAAATGTAAAGTTTGGTGGAAGAGGGATAATGGTATGGGGTTGGGCTAGGCCCATTATTTCTAGTGAAGTAATTTTCTTAATGCTTCAGCATGCCAAAACATTTTGGACAATGCTATGCGTCCAGCTTTGTGGGAACAGTTTTGGAAAAGCCCTTTTCTATTCCAGCATGACTGTGGCCCAGTGCACAAAGCAAGGCCCGTACTTTGTTGGATGAGTTTGGTGTGGAACCGATAGAACATCTTTGGGATGAACTGGAACAGAGATTGTGAGTGTACCAGGCCAGTTGCATAAACTTAGCCACTATGTTAAGACTGTCTTAAGAACTAGTTTGACCAACTAGCAGTTGCCAAGGGGTAATCAGTCTTACTTTTCCAATACAAATAAGAACAATCTACCTTTTCATAACTGAATTAAAAAAGTTATGACCAGTCTTGAAGAAAACAAATTAGGAGACTAACTTTTTAAGACTAGTCTAAACAGTTTATGCAACTGGCCTGATCTCACAAATGCTTTACTGGATGAATGGGAGAGCTGTTCATTTACTCCCTCCACCTACAATTCCTGCCGGTATTGAACATCGAACCCACGACCAATAAATAGTGTATATTAAACTGTTTAATGCTAACAACAGATCATGAAAACCTGTACAATCTACAGCACACGTGACAATCTACAGCACACGTGACAATCTGCATGCATAAATTTAAATTTCAGGATTTTTTGGCCAATATGACATTGAAAGTAGTGCTTACTCCATATTCAGACTGTTGAATGATAACATGTTTTGTCAAATTCTTTATCCAAAGTCCAAATTACTGTTTTGGTACCCAGATCTCTTTATTAATTAAAATAATTTGCTATTTAAAAGATAGGTCTTTCTCTGTTGAACAGGTTATAAAAATAGTCAAGAACAATTTCTGTGCATTTTCTCCGCTAAAAAAAAGAAAAAAGTATTGGATCCAAAGTCCAAATTACTGTTTTCGTACTAAGCAGATATTTTTTATTAATTAAAATAATTTGAAGAGCTATCTGAAAGAACTAGCCTACTTTATTAAAGATGTTGTGAAAAATTTACAAGAAATTTTTTTGTGTGTGCATTCTCTCATCTGGTTTGTAACAGTTTGAGTAGAATCACCTCCACCATTATGGAAAGTTTTTTTTTTGTAAACAGGTTAGATAGTTTGTTTTGTTGAACACAATCAGTTTCACAGACGTCATAATTCGCGTTATAAAATCAATATAATTCTCAATCAAAATGACGATGACGTTGTAACCACTTTGATATAATCCACATGATTACTCATCGTGTCCCTTTTTCATCAATTTAATTTCGCTTTATAAGCCTGTATCGTCATCACAAGATCATCTGGCGAATGAAAACCGCCTCTAGTATTAAACCTGTCGTGTGTTTTCTCACTAGAAGGCAGCACTGTGATTTTAACACAGGTATCTTAGGGCTTTTATTGTAACAGCGTCAAAGAAGAATGCCCATCGATAGCGCGTCACCGCATCAAACATGTCTGTCAGTGGCTCTTCCTTGAGCGTCTGACGCGCTCAGGAAGCGTTCCGCGACGCGCTCGATGCGGCTGCGGATATTATACACTCTTTCGTGCGCCATAGAGGAATGATTATCCACAATCGAGTAAGTAATATTAAATAAAGGCCTAGCTATCGACTACTGCTGGAGCCTGATTTGAAGCGTCGCTGTGGACCGGGTGAATCAGAGGAAACGCTTGACCTGAAGTGTTATTATTATCCGTTATATTGACAATTATTTCGCAATAATTGCTCATTGCCTGTCGTCGCTGCATGTATGGTTGCTTAATAAATACATTTTTTCCGGTTTATCGTAGTGCAAAATATGAGCTGGTTTGTTAGCAGGAGATCTTGTTAATCAGTCCAGAACTATCTGTCTCCTCAAGGTGCGCGATGTTTTGTGATGGCCAGGAGGAGGAGGACAGTGCTCTCTCAATCTTGTGTTTATGAGCAGTCAGCACAGGTACTCATGGAATACCAGTCTGTTATTCACCGATAAAAGGCTCATTCCTGTTGTGCAGCATATTTTTATATCAATATGTCTTAATATAATAGCATACTGTACTCACAGGTTTTAAACAATGAGATAATAGTTGTCACAAAATCAAAAAATAGTGAACTTTTTGTTTAGTTTGAGTGTATGTTGCTATTTTTTGCTATGTTTGAGTGTTCCATATACACTTCTAAATCTAAAAAAAGGAATTTATTAAGAAATATTGCAGGTATTTCTTCCTATTTTTTTAATCAAACTAAACATCAGTTTCATTCGTTTCATTTATAGTCATATCTTGTCATTTTACATTAACTAATACAAGCCAGACCCTAAATCACATCATTCCCCAGGAAGTTTTAATTAATAGCACAAACATAAGCAATTAGCTATGAATTCTATGATGTTTCTGTGGTGTTAGATGGTTCATTGTATTTTGAAGCATTCTTTTCTGTTAGGTACAACAATTATAGATATTTTATATGATAAATGTGACCCTGGAGCACAAAACCAGTGATAAGTCGCATGGGTATATTTGTAGCAATAGCCAACAATACATTGTATGGGTCAAAATTATCGGGGGGGTTTTTTATGCCAAAAATCGTTAGGATATTAGGCCTAAGTAAAGATCATGTTCCATGAAGATATTATGTAAATTTCCTACCATAAATATATCAAAACTTTTACATTTTTGATTAGTAAATGCATTGCTAAGGACTTCATTTGGACAACTTTAAAGACGATTTTCTCAATATTTAGATTTTTTTGCACCCTCAGATTCCAGATTTTCAAATAATTGTATCTCGGCCAAATATTGTCCTATCCTAACAAACCATACATCAATGGAAAGCTTATTTATTCAGATGATGTATAAATCTCAATTTAAAAAAATGTGTTTGTGGTCCAGGGTCACATATGATAATATCAGATTTTTAAAAGATTGTTAAAAATATCCAAACTATCTTCAAATTGACAACCTCATGTAAAGTAACTCACAATCCTTCTCTGAATGATGTATTTCCATCCTGTTTTCCCATTATTGTCCTGATTTTAATTAATTAATTAATTTTGTATTATAATCATGCATTTTTTTTATTTGTAATCAAGCATACATATGTATTATTTTATTTTTAAAGTACTGTACTGTGTAACAGGAGTGACTCAAAAAGTGTGTGGTCTTTGCTGATTTAATCCGAGATCTGGGATTGATCCCGGACACACTGGCACTATAAAGTTCTCCTTTGTAGTTAGATGTGATGGATCTACCACTATTGATTTTTGTGTTCCTCTGTTTTTCCAGTGACTCCCACACATGCCATAGATGTCCTTCCCTTAGCTCACTGAGCTAACTTTATTTCTCCTCATCACCCCTGATATCCTTCCACTCTTCCCTCTCTCATGCCTCTTGCTCTGTCTTCACTCTATCTCTCTTCTCGTATCTGTCCCTTGTCCATCCCATTTGACTTTCCCATCCTCCCTTCCTCTGTCACTCCTGCTTTGTGTCGAATGTCATAATGGTGTGCTGTGGTCGAGCGCTGGACTCCCCCTGCACTCTGGCTCTGTTAGTGGGCTTCCAGTTCGCGTTTGTCCTCTACTTCTCCCTGGGAGGCTTTCGTGGCCTAGTGTCTGTTTTGGTTCATTCCACCGAGCCTGAGATCGACTACTCTCGACCGCATGACGTCTACACCAACCTCACCTCTCTGCTGCTCCACCATCCAGGACCCAGTGTACCAGAACAGCAGCTCAGAGACTGTATACTGCCCTCTCCACTGCTGGGTAGATATAAATCCATTCTGAAGGGCTTAAGACATTGAGCAGTCATTGGATTTGTTTGTTTACTATGTCTCATTGCAGTTTTAAATAAACCAAAGACGTTTTTTTGAGTTTAGTCAACCCAAAAATTAAGATTCTTACATCATTTTCACTAACTTTTATCTTTCCATACCTGTGTGACTTTTTTCTCTTGTGGATCACAAAAAAATATATTTTCAAGAATGTACTGGTTGCTGTTTTCCATGCAGTTACAATGACTGCAGATTGGCACTTCCAGGCTTCAAAAAAAGGACATAAAATCACCATTAAAATATCATAATTGTCCATATTATATGCTGAATTCCATGCCTTCTGGAATTATTTTTCATTTTATGGACAGAAAACATATAAATACAAAATCATATGAATAAAAAATCAAATAAATAGAAAATAAAACCTCTAAAAGCTAAAATCAGTCATTTTAAATGCTACAAGTAAATTTAAGCATCACAATATTATAATGTACAATATGAGAAACAGATATTCATCTTGAGATATGCTAAAGATTATGGAGGACTTGGTGCGACACTTAAAATAAAATGAAGGATTAAGTTCAGTTTTTTTTTAAATGTCAATTCATTTTTAATTTAAAAATGATTCATATTTTTTAGTTTTTAACTACAATTTAAAGCATTAATTATACAGTTTTAAAAATATCTCTGTTAATTTACCACTTTAAAAAGTGATTTGTTTATTTCCATTTTTATGTTTGAATTATTTCATTTTATTTTTAACTGTCACTTTAAGTCCTCCATTAAGATGACATTTAACAGTGATATTAAGTTATTAGTGGTTAAAAGATAAAAGATTTAACATTTTTAAGTGAGCGTTAAATGACAGCAAATGTAATCTAAATGTAAAAATTTGCATGAAAAATTAAATATCCAATATTAAAAAATAAAAAGAATAATTCAAAAAATCTCTGATATTGCACAGTAACTGATATGCACAATATATTGCCCTTTTGTGTTCCACAAAAGAAGTCATACTGCTTTGGACTAACTGATTAAATAATTACATAATTTACATTTTTAGGGATAGTATTCCTTTAATTCGGTGTTGCAGGACAGATTTTTTTTACAAGTGCATGTGTGCTTTCCTCCTGCTGTCTGCCAGTGGGTCCTGTTTCTGTCCACCTCTCCTCACCCCCCTCCCTGGAGAAGATAAAAGAGAAGAACCCCTTGGTGACCTTAGGGGGTCATTACCGCCCACCAGACTGTGAGCCACGGCACCACACAGCCATCGTGGTCCCCTACCGGAACCGCCAGACCCACCTCCGCGCCCTCCTTTACCATCTGCACCCCTTTTTGCAGCGGCAGCAGGTCCACTACGGCATTTACATTGTGCACCAGGTCTCTTGTTCGTTGTTACGCTGACTTGTCACATCTATTGTATAGAAAAAAATCCTAGCAGTAATTAGAGGAAGTAGTAGCTGGGACAAAGGGTAAACATAGCTCATAGCTTATTGTCAAGCTATATTAGTGTTCTATTCTTGCCCAAAAATGCATTTGTGTACACTTGATTTGCTCATAGTCTGTGTTATCAGTCAGGGAACTCCACGTTTAACCGAGCGAAGTTGCTGAATGTTGGAGTGCGGGAGGCGCTGAAAGAGGAGGACTGGAGCTGTATTTTCCTGCATGACGTCGACCTGCTGCCTGAGAATGACCACAATACCTACACCTGCCACCCCCAGTACCCTACACACCTCTCCATAGCTATGGACAAGTTCAGATACAGGTACCCTACCCACTATCACAGGATTGAATGTTTTAAAGCTTTTCTCTGATTTTATCTTAATGAACGGGTGAAACCTAATGACATTTTTTAATGCATTTTTATGTTTGTAGTCACTTCAATATAACTGTAATAGTTTTAATGTTGTTATTATTATAATAATAATTTTTCATATTACAGCATGATAATATAATAATTAAAAAAAAATGTTGTATAGTTGAATAAAATCAAGGTTAGATGCCAGTATACACTACAGTTCAAAAGTTTAAGATTGGTTCAAATTAGACTTGTGCCGGTATTCGGTAATGCGATATATCACGGTAATGAATATGCACGATATTGTTATCGTGGGCACTTCTAAATACCGTGAATAACAAAGCAGAAACAAACATATTACAAAAACCAGAATACAATAAAAATAAATAAATAAATAAATAAAATAAAACTATAAAATAAAACACACTACTTCAAATTATGAGGACATATTTGATTATCCAGTAACCACCCTTTTACCGATTCAGAAAAAGGAGCAAGAGATGTAATATTTCTTAATTCTATGGGTATAGTATTCCAAGTATGTACTGCTCTATAAGAAAATACTGATTGCCCAAAAGTACTATGTGGTATTATACAGTCCCCTCTAGTAGTGGCTCTAGTGAAAGAATTCAAATTTTTCCTGATAAATTTATTAAGTGGGAGCGGAGCCAAACCATGCAAAATTTTGAACACAAGTAAAATATCTGCAAATTTAATCATATTTTCCCAACTTAAAAACCCATATTTAGTTAAAATTTCACAATGATGATATGAATTAGACCTTTTATCCAATATTTTCAAAGCCTGCTTATAGAGTCTTTCTATTGATTGCAAAATAGTCCCACCTGTCTGTGTCCAACTGGTGAGACAGTAATTCTACAATTTTGATCTACACCCTCATATGTTAAATATGTATCCCAGTCTATTTTTTTTATTGTTCTTTCAAGACTATCCAACTGACTTAGGTATTTTATATTTTTCTACCTTTTCAGATATTAAATTAAATCTGGTTTTAGTGAGCTTTCTTACAATCAAAATCATATTATGATCGGATAGTCCAGTTACCAGATTATAGCATTTCTTTATCCTTTCTGGTCTACCGATATGTCCAAGGTACGAAGGAAGCACCAAGTAATTTGAACAGGTATACTGAGCTTGATTAATTTCCATACACGGTCGTACCGAATTGACTACAAGTGCCACAACATAGAACATAGTCCATAAAATAATCTTACTTCGAAAAAAGTGTCTATGAACAACATTTTTAGGAAACTGTTGGCTTGATAGCAGCGAGCCAGCACCTGCCCGACCTCTCACTGCTGCCGACGCCATTTTTTTTTTTCCTTAGTGTATTTTTCTGTATTTTTTCAATATTGCTTTATTGCATTTAAATGTTCAGTTATTTTTGTTATAAGAAAAAATTTATTAAACCTGTTATACTGTATTATGACAGCACTTTTTTTAAAAACATTGATTAATGTAAGAGATGGTGTATTTGATAATTTTTAGGAATAACACTTCAAATGTTTAAATGTCCACCTAGTATTCCACTTGGTTTCGATCGACAATCCCAAAGAATACGAGCATGATTTACTGTTCTAAAAAGCTTAAAACAACGATGCTTTATAATTGCCGGATTTATCTTGCGCATTGATTTATTCAGTAATATTGATGTAGTCCTTTGCACATGGTTTGATATAGCCGATGGAACATCGCCTGATGGAACGCCGGCCTGAAATGTAGTCACCGGTGTTAGATCAACGAAAGACTCACCCACTTGACCAACATCCACAATAGAATGACCATATCCCAAGGTAATATCCTCCAAAGTCGAACGCTGATACACACTCCCAGCAAATGTAGTTTGATGGTGCCAATCTTGGCCCATCTCGTCCGCACGTGGGCCCGGATTCAGATGCACATCTCCCGCAAGCAACAGCGTAAAAAGCAGGTATCCAGAAAGTTTCCTCAACAATTTTGATGGTTTACATTTTATCACATCATTTTTCGATGTGACAGTTGGAATAATCGCCTTCCCATAATTAAGAATACTGCGATAAGATGCAAATTGTCCAACAGGCAAAGATGTGCCGATATGTCCAAGGTACGAAGGAAGCACCAAGTAATTTGAACAGGTATACTGAGCTTGATTAATTTCCATACACGGTCGTACCGAATTGACTACAAGTGCCACAACATAGAACATAGTCCATAAAATAATCTTACTTCGAAAAAAGTGTCTATGAACAACATTTTTAGGAAACTGTTGGCTTGATAGCAGCGAGCCAGCACCTGCCCGACCTCTCACTGCTGCCGACGCCATTTTTTTTTTTCCTTAGTGTATTTTTCTGTATTTTTTCAATATTGCTTTATTGCATTTAAATGTTCAGTTATTTTTGTTATAAGAAAAAATTTATTAAACCTGTTATACTGTATTATGACAGCACTTTTTTTAAACTAAATTTCAATATCGTGATAACACCGTATACCGTGATAAAAGCATTAGCAATTAATCGCAACATGAAAATCTGATACCGGCATATCCCTAGTTCAAATATAATATTACAAAATAATGTTTTATATTTTAATATTTTAAAATGTAATTTATTCCTCTGATGACAAAGCAACATTTTCAGCAGCCACTGCAGTCTTCAGTGACAAAAAAATGCTTTATATTTTTGTGCAAACTGTGATTCGTTTTTTTTCAGGATTGTTTGATGAATAGAAGTTTCAAAAGAATTCCATTTATTTGTTACATTAAAATGCCTTTACTATCACTTTTGTTTCATTTAATTTTGGATGGTAGTGAAAGATAAATATTTTTAAATAAATTGGTGGTTAATTTTTCAATTAAATTCTACACACTTTAATTCAAAACAGGCCATTTAAAAATAAAAATAAACGAAAAGAACAACTGTTCATTTAACAACAGTTTTCTAGATCTTATAAAACTTCTAGAAACAAATAGTTCATCCTCTTCACGCATGGTAAAATAGGGGATGTAGTTCATTCATTATTAGTGCTGACACAGGTATATGCAGTAACTCATGGCTCTGGCCCTCTAAATTGACATCCAGGTCTGCACATCTCAGGTCACAGAGTCTGCATTTCTGTATTCTGCAGCCACAATGTCCACCTAGATACAAACATTCACTGAGAACAGAAACATTGCAGAGAAAACAAGCCATATATTCAGTCCACCAAGGCTGAGGACAACATCAGGACCTCTCTGTGATGAATCCGCTGAAGGCTGTAAAGCATTCAGACATGACTCAGTGAGTTAGTCCTTGGGTAGAAATACAGAGAAAATAACGAAGAAAGATACATAGCAGCAGCTCATCTAGCTATCACTCAATATTTACTGAACAGTACTAAAGAATTTAGAACAGGTGTTAGGAGTACAAGGGATCTCTGGAGGGCAGGTTCAATAAGCAATCACAGTTAAATTACAGCTCTTTTTTTATTAGTTTTATTTTATTATTATTATTATTTAAATCAGTGAATACCTTTATTCAGCAATGGATTAAATTGAGTAAAAACAATGTTACAAAAGAGTTCTATTTCAAATCATTTCTGTTCTATTCAACTTTATGTTCATCATTTATTTGGTATTATGATCATGAAAAAATGTTCATGGTTCACGGTTTTCACAAACATTTTAAGCAGCACAACATTGATAATAATAAGGACTGAACATCAAATTAGCAAATCAGAATGATTTCTGAAGGATCGTGTGACACTGAAGACTAGAAGACTGAAAAAAAGCTTTACCACCATACATAGTAAATTCTATTTTAAAATATATTAAAAACCAGTTATATAAAATTGTACATAATATTACTATTTGTACTGTATTTTTGATAAAATAAATGCAGCCTCGTTGAGCATGAGAGATTTCTTACAAAAAACATAAAAAAATCTTTCCAACCCCAAACTTTTGAACAGTCATGCATATACCGCTCAACACTCACATTAGTTGCTTTTCCTGTCCTTTTTTTTCCAGATTTACTCAAAGATCACATGAAAATACAGTGATATACACACTATGTATGGTTGTCACATGATGTCGTCATGTTCCATGTTTAATTTTTGAAATCTAATAAAACTTTACTTATTACTTTTTGTCCACGTTTATGTAAAAACCCATTAACATTTGGCAGCCTTTTGAAAAAGATGAATGTATTCTGATTTGCACCCAGTTTTCTGTATACTGCATATTTTGCCAATTGTAACAGGTCATATGATTATTCAGTGCATAGAAAAAATGTGTACATACTTTAGAAATATTAGTGTGGTAGTGTTCTGAAAATAGTTATTATTAAAGGGGTCATATGATGTTGCTAAAAATAACATTATTTTGTGTATTTGGTGTAATGCAATGTGTTTATGCGGTTTAAGGTTCAAAAAACACATTATTTTCCACATACTGTACACTATTGTTTCTCCTCTATGCCCCGCCTTTCTGAAACGTGTCGATTTTTACAAAGCTCATCGGTCTGAAAAGCGAGGTGTGCTCTGATTGGCCAGCTATCCAGTGCGTTGTGATTGGCCGAATACCTCAAGCATATGACGGAAATGTTATGCTCCTACCATACTGTGATGCCCTGTCCGGCAGAAGCGACGAGACAAAAACATTAAAACCCATTATAAACGAGGCATTTGTTGTCTCCACGACATGGCGGCGGCGGCAACAACAATACAACAGCGAGAATCAAAGTTACGCCTTCTTTCATTGCTTGAACATTTGGGCGGCGTTATGCAAATCTTCCCACATCGTGACGTAGACATGTGGGGGCATGTTAGAACGAGCCGTTTTAGGTAGGCGTGGTTGACTCTTAACTTTTATAAAGAATATCTCTTTGGATTTGAGACTTTAGTCTTTGCAACTTTACAGATCTTCTTTTTTCACCAAGAGCTTGTAACACTCCAAAGAGTAAGGAAAATTTGAAATCGCATCATATGACCCCTTTAAATTATGACACAGATTTAAACAGCATTTTTTGTTCATTTATAAGGGGTCCCGGTTTTCTATCCATCTGTACAGATTGCTGTAATGATGTGATGCAGAGGTACAGATGAACATTAAACTGCAGGGGAAGCTGTGACACTTCAGATGGAATAATTGATGAAGGCTAGTAGAGACAGATGACCTTATTCCTCTGTGCCTCACCAAATCACTGCTCTGACTCCTTCCTTCGCAGGCTTCCATACTCGCAGTACTTCGGAGGGGTGTCCGCTGTAACCCCGGAGCAGTACCTCAAAATGAACGGCTTTCCTAACCAGTACTGGGGCTGGGGAGGAGAGGACGATGACATTGCAGCTCGGTGAGGATAGCAGAATTCAGTTTATAATGCATTTGCATGTGTTATTTCAACATAAAACAGCCTGGAATGTAGTAGAGATCAAAGTAACTGGCATGTCTACATCAGAAATGCATCCTGTTAAGCATTTGTGTTGCACGTCTGTCATCTCTCCATCACCATTTTGTTCTCATTTCACATTCGCATTGGTCTCTTGTCATTATTCTCATTTTCACTGCATCCGTCTATCCCTCATGCCCTCCCCCGCATAGCCACAGGAGGGACCAGTAAGTACATGCATGAATCACTAGATTGGACTCAAGGCTTCCAACTATATAGATGTCTGTACACTTCAGTGATTACTGCCTCTTTATTCAATAATAAATTTTAAGTAATTGTATTTCTGTGACAGAAAGAAACTTGCTGTAGAAGATTAAAAGTTGCTGAAGCCTTGAAACCAGAATGAGTCAGGTGTAGTGGATTACTAATAGTGTTGAGGATTTGAATCGCATTTTCTTTATGGTTAGTTCTCTCTTAAAGGGGTCATGAATTGCCTTTGTTTTATTTTGTACTGTTCTCTGAGGTCCACTTATAATGTTATCAAGATTTAGAAGTAATAGGCTATTTTCTGTCCTGTTTTGACCCCCCTCATCAGAACGCTCTGTTTGAATAGGTGTGGCGGATTGTAGACTCGGAAGTAAACGGCCACTGCTATGATTGGCTAACAGTTGTGTATGTTTGACAGCGACATTCCTCATAGATGGATGCTGCTGTGATTTAGGTCAAAAACGCATAAATGCTCAGTATATTTCAAACGATCTGTAATAACAGACAAAGCAATAGTAATAAAAACAGTTACTCACACTTGTGTGGCAGAATATTATCCAATAATGTTGGCTGTCGGATCCAATATAGTCAGCACAGCATCGCGTTTCAATATTTCTGAGAATCCTGCGTCGAATTGTGCCTTGTCTGTAAATGAATCCGCGATAAAATGAAGTGAACAAAGCACCAAGTTGTTACTGATGCGGTCGGGAACTTCATTAAAAATAAAGTTCATCAAATGAAGTTTATCATTTGGTTCCTGCGTAGACCTGCGTTTGTCACTCTTGTCATATCTACTACGTGCGTGAATTGGTGGGCGGGGCTAAACAGGCAGTGATGTAGAAGCAGGTGTTGTTCTTCTGCGGAGGCGATGTTTAGCCACTATTACATTATAAAGTGGTACATTCTAAAACCTGTCGTTTTGGCAGATTGGCTTCAGTATAAGCTGATTTTAGACTAACGATAAAGTTTTGAGTTCTTGAAAACGTACAGGATGTTTTTATAGTTCAATGACTTCTTACATGTCAAAAGATCAAGGGAATTTTGGTTTCTCAGTTCATGACCCCTTTAAGTGACTTTGGCATGAATAGGATTGGGCATCATGAGGAATCTAACGAATCTAGTTAGCAGTTGCATTAATGATTCTTTTAGAGGAAGCTGTATTTGAGAAAATCCATGATGAGGTCATTTTAAAGGGGTCATATGATGTTGCTAAAAAGAACATTCTTTTGTGTATTAGGTGTAATTAAATGTGTTTATGCGGTTTAAAGTTCAAAAAACACATTCTTTTCCACATACTGTACATTATTGTTTCTCCTCTATGCCCCGCCTTTCTGAAACGCATCGATTTTTACAAAGCTCATCGTTCTGAAAAGCGAGGTGTGCTGTGATTGGCCAGCTATCCAGTGCGTTGTGAATGGCCGAATACCTCAAGCGTGTGACGGAAATGTTACGCCCCTTACCATACTGTGATGCCGTGTCCCGGAGTGAGGAGACAAAAACATTAAAACCCATTATAAAGGCGTTTGTTGCATCCAGTGGGGACATAATTACGGATTATAATGACTTGTACTGTCTTTTTACGTGTTGGATCGCGCCGCGTAAACATAAAACCATGTCTAGTTTGTAACACTCCAAAGAGAAAGGAAAACTTGAAATCACATCATATGACACCTTTAATAATAAATACATTTCAAAATTCTGGCAAAATGTTGTTACATACATTTTTGGATAGGCAGCATACATTAAAAAAACAATAATTGGCCTAACTGTGTATTAAATAACAGTACTAAATACACAAAAATGTGGCATATTTAATTCCGCCGTTATTACTATTTTTTTTATAAAGTACTACTGTTTAACTACATGTTGTCATATGAACAACCAGTCATTAACTACATTAAGCTTGTGTTATATTCACAAAATAAAAAAGCTAATTTGTTTGTGAATCAGACTACATTGGTTGCCTAAATGTATTTAATTCAGTAAATGATTCATAGTGGAATAATTTGGTTGAGACCAAAATAATTCATAATTGAATCATTTGGTCAAGAATCGATGGACTACACTGGTCATGCTAAATAGTTTTGATTCACTACAAACATCTGGCTCATGAGATTCATTCATTCTGAAACCTATCTATACTTTTCGCACTGTCTGTTTCACGCTATAGATTCAGTAGTAGTGCATGACTCTGATTGACTCTCAAAATGTCTTCGTACACGCTCATGAACCATTAATGGAACCAAATGTAATTTGCTGTAATGTAATTGGCTATTTTTGAGTAAGAACTAAATCCCAACCTGCTCAACATCTTTGACAAGGCAGCACCTGAGTCCATCACTGTTTTTTCTTTACTTTCTTGCTGTTTAATATGCCTACATGGTTTGATTTCACCCTAAGTGATTTTTCAGGGTACGATACAGAACAAATCTAGTCCCAGAAGAAAAGTATTTTTAGTGGACCCGGCTTTATGCGTTTTGGGAAAACTGACATTACATGTATTCTTGAAGAACATTTTGAAGGGCATATCAGCTCATGGTGATTTGTAAACCTGACTGTCGCATAATTAACCGTCAGTATCCTCGTCTGACTCAGATGGCTGAACCAGAGGCAAGAGCCCAAAAGTTTTAAGTATTTAAAAGCTGGATTAGACTCTCCAACTTTAGATGAACCTTTTGAGGATTTTCAGTTGTGGTTAGAACCTTTTTACATAAAAATCCTCAACAACAGTAGTTTTTTTAGCTAGTTCACATTCATCTGGCCCGCCTTGCGGACTCTGCTGGAAATAGTTTTCCTGCTGTGCTTTGTGCTGCTCTTTCTTTTGTCTCTGTCTGTTTGATAATTCATACCATCCTTCTTCAGGGTTTTTTTTTCTTATATGTTACTATTTCTACTTGCCCTGTGGTTTTGTCTTTAGAGTCCGTCTCTCTGGGATGAAGATAATGCGCCCCCATTTGGCCATTGGGCATTATAAGATGATCAAACATAAAGGAGATCAGGGTAATGAGCAGAACCCGAGAAGGTGATGTCACATGCCAAATATATTATAAACTTTGCTACTAGGGTTGCAAAGGGACGGAAACGTTCTGGTAAACTTCCAGAAACTATCCAGTTTTGCAACCCTAGTTGTTACAATCTTAAAAATAAAGGTTCCAAAAGGTTTTCTTTTTTCACAGCCATGCCATAGGAGAACTATTTTTGATTCCCCAGTGAACTTATAAGTGAACAGTTCTTAACATTTCTTAGTACAAAGAACAGTTTAATCTAAAGAACCTTTTTCCACTGTAGGAACCTTTTGTCCATCGGAAAAGTTCTATGGATGTTAACAGTTCTTCATATGGAACTATAGATGCCAATAAAGAACCTTTATTTTTAAGAGTGTATGGATAGATAGATTTATTATTTAATCCATTTATTCTGTTAATTGAGTCAGTTCCTCTTCATCAATTCGTTCTTGTAGGTTTGACTTGCTGAAGCGCACAAGGCTGAACTGGCGCTCAGATGGACTGAACTCGCTGACTTATGAGCTCCTGTCCAAAGAGTTGGAGCCATTGTACACAAATTTATCTGTCAACATTGGGGATGATCCACACCATCCCCCTGTGAAGGCTCCACCCCGGAAATCAGAGCCTCAACCCGCTCCAACTCCTAAAATGAAGACTGAAAAAGTGGGTGTGGTCATCAATCATAATGCCACAAAAGTGGAGCCCATCCACTTGAAGGCCAGTAATGAAAGTTCAAATGTTGTTCAAAAAACTCCTTTGAAACAGGAGGTAGGATGATACTGATAATCAAGTATCCACAGACAATTCACAGGGTGAGTTATTAATGGATAGTGGAGGGAATACCAGTTTGCTCTTTATTTTATATCGTGAAGCATTGCTTCTCTAGGCAAATAAGTTCATTCCACTGAAAGTAGACTGAAACTGGTCCGGCCATCTCTGAATGTGGTTCAGCTGCTGATATGGTGAAGTTTGCACAAGTCTGAAGATCTCGTTTCACTGTAGGTGTCGTATCAGAGTGGGCCGAGTTGTAAACGCTCTCGAAAGTGACCTATCGACGTACCTGTGCAAGTCCTGTGTGTTTTTGAGCTGACCTGCTGCCAGCTGCTGCTCTTCACCCCACTGTGTGGGTCTGTTTTTCTGTGCCTTTTCTTGCCCTTGAACCAGTCTCTTATCAACATGCCATGACTAAGTCGAAAGCATTATTACTGCACACCACTGTTATTGATACTACAGTTGAATGCTCTTTCCACATGTTTATCTATTTTTCTCTTCTTTTAATATCTAATCAGCACACACTGCTTTGTGATCTAGTGCTTGAGCAGACGTGTATCACTGTGGTCTATTTTTGGTCTTACTGTACAAACTTAGAAAGGTGTGATCTTTGATTGTGAGCACTGGCTTATTTTCTCTTTTAGCTGCTCAGATACCTATTAATAATTTTATGATGCAGTGTAAAAGAAAAGAAAAGAGTTTAATTATTTTAGGTATTGTGTGGTGCCTTTGTTGGATTCCATTTTGGTTGTAGACAATCATTGGGATAAGCATATAAAATGACACAAATATTTATTTGTAATCTTTACAGACTTCTATTATTTGAATTCAGGAATATGTTTCTGTTAAATAGATTCGATGGTTTAGGTTGAAGGTGTGACTTTAGTCTCTAAGATATTTGATATTGTAAGATTTTATAAACAGGTAATGGGTAATTTTATGTTTAGTTATATAGCAAGAATAAATTTGATCCGTTAGTGAAAAATATTTGTTGTATCACCATTATGGCACTTTTACAGTATGTAAAAACTGCATTCTGTATTAAATACAATCCTTGAGTATAAGCTACATTTAAAGAACAAAGATATCAGCGTCAGATGTTTTTCTGTTGAAGTTATTTTGAAATGAAAATTGCATTGCACATTATATTAGCAGGCCCACTGACATTTTTCACTCTCCCACAATGCAAACTACAAAACATTAAGAAAAATATCATATTATTTACCGTAAATGATAGTCTGAAGGTGCTCATTGAGAATTCACCCCATCATGTGACATGGTGCATATCTCACTGTAAGTACAACATATTTCAAATCTAGATATACATTTCAGAGAGGCTGTTTAAATTATTCTGATTTTGATACGCAATTCTTAGTGTGACTTAGTGTCATAAGATAAAAGAAAACATGGTGTTTTACTTCATGCCTTTGTATTAAATCTACAAAAAGTGTAACTAAGATAGTATTCTGAGATGCATGTGGCAGATAAATCAGTTTCATCCTAGCATATTTGCAAGACCCTTGCATACTGTATATATATATATATATTGAATAAAGTACATAGTTTTCTATCAGATACAGTATTTGGCAATGGTGTTAAACTACTTTAATGCCTCTAATTTGAGAACATTATTACATCTGATAATAACTGTTTTAGACATGACATACTCAGAAAAAAAGTGGTAAGATTTTAAAGATTGTGGATATTTTTTGTCATGTCATTTTTGGTCAAACACTGTTGATTTGAATGTGTATTCCTTTGGCTATGATGACTGTTGGTTATATAAATATACATAACGGAGACTCTGAAACTGCGTTTCCACCTGTGTCTGAGTTACATTGAAGTTTGCCACAGATATTACTACTGATCAGTTATCTTGTGAATAAACATTTTACCATTGTGATTTGACCATGCAGCTGTTTATTGTATGTTTATCAACAGAGAATGGAAAAATGATGACTGACTTGGAGGGACTCTTAAAGGGATAGTTCACCCAAAAATGTATATTCTGTCATTATTTACCCTCATGTCACTCCAAACCTGCATGACTTTCTTTCTTCTGCAAAACACAAAAGCAGTTATTTTGAAGAATGGTAACTGCACAGATTTGGAGACTACTGACTTCCATTGTTTAAACAAAACCGAGACATTTCTCAAAATATCTTGTGCTCCAACAGAAAAAGAAAGTCAGCTTTGAAACGTATATGATATATATGAGTATATGACAGAATTTTGGTTTTTGGGTAAACATATCCTTTCAAGTTCACCTTCAGTTCCCCAAGCATTCAGTGTCTGCTCACAAAATCACTCATTGGCTTCCAAGCGCCAAAAACATAAACCGATTACTAGTGAATTAAGCTGATGTCGTGTCCTAGGGGGCCTACAGGCGTGTCATTGTATTATTGAGCAAATAAACAAAAACTATTTAAAATCTCTTGCGATGTTTTTTTTTTTTAAAGAATATTATTAAAATACAGATATCAAGGTACTCTGATATATTTTCTGGCAATACTTGACCCCGCATTCAGTATTTCATCTAAGCAGATTCCATTACAAAAGCCATTGAGTAAAACTAATCAGCTTTAGCTTCATTGAAACAATTCAGTTAATGTGTTCTGACCTGTTTTTATACAGTCTATGGTTCTGACACACACATTAAAGTATGCACAAACGGAGAGCACAGTTATAAATAAATGGAACACAATAATAATATCTGTAAAGTAAAAGTGTTTTTCAAAGAAGTGGTAGGCTTACGTAATGCCATTTCATGGAATAACTTTTATAACTGCCCATGCAGGGGATCTGATTATAAATGGTGTTATTTCTGCTGAGATGCTGGTCTGCTGTTCTGGGTTGGTGGTCTTAACTCAGCTTGGCTCTCTTGAGTGGCTGGTCTGGATAGAGCCTGTTGGCTGTGGTGACTTCCTGGTCTAGACTGGGTTTGGTTTTCGAGAAGGTTTACTGGGTTAGACTGGTCTTGGCTGTGATGTGATTTGGGCCTCTCTGGTTCATTTCGGTCTGGGTCACTCACTGGCATTTTTGACTCTTCTGCAGGCTGGTCCACATTTATGTTTTCCTATAAGCATATTGTTTAGTCAGAATTATTAAAAGCAATGTAATATAACACCATAGCATCATAATTAGGAGATATTAAACACCCACCACATTGTTAATGGTTCTATTTGTAGCCTGGTTGCCATCAGGGGTCTCATGAGTCTGGTTTGTGGCAAATTTCATCTGTCCCCAGGTCCTGAGGCGATCCTCGCCCTCTCGTGAACGGGCAGTGGGGTTTATGGAAGCAGGACTGATATACTGAGGTAAATCCCATGTGCCTTGGAATGCTGGCCATGCACTTCCACTCTAATAATGAAATCATTTATAAATAGTAAAATGAAACTGCTGCAAAACGTTTTAAGCTTGGTAATTACATTAAAATTTCATGCAAGTCATGCAAATCATCAAAACAAACCTTTGTTCTGACACCAGGTAGAAGGTGGCCACGGTCTGTGGCTATAAATGTAGTGTGGCCTTCTGCTGCTGCTGCTGGTCTCTTGAGGAACAAAAAGTAAATATTCCAAACGCAAGAATTTATAATATGAGCTAGGCAATTATTCTCTCCACCCAGTGCAATTTGTATAACTGCGTCATTTAAATGAAAAAGGACTCGAAGTAAACATTTACCGTTGTGCCCTGTTTGACTGACGCGCATGCTTCTGCATTTGCATGGTTCACTGTTTGTGTAATGGAAATGCTCAGTAACAGTAAAGTGTACACTACAGTTCAAAGGTTTGGTTGCAAGATTGTTTTTGAAAGAAATACATATTTTTATTAAGCAAGGATGTATTCAATTAGTCAAAAGTGACGGTAAAGATCATTTGTTTTCTATGAATAAAGAATTTCTATTTCAAATAAACGCTGTTCTTTTGCAAACATTTTTGTAAACGATTAAATTGACAGTTATTCTAGCTCAAACGGCTTTACCAATGAGACTGACTGTGTTAAGTTAACGTTACCTCTTTGAAATGTGTTGGGATGGTCCAATTTTTGAGCTTTTGCGACTTAAAAGCATTTTCATACTGCAGAAAACACCATACATTTATTAAATACGTCAAGGTTATTCAATTATACAATAAAAAAAAATATCATAGTAGAATAGTTCCAATTTAAGCACCTGGTTTGCAGAGTAACTAGTCGACATCTTTCCGCTCGAATGTGTTGGCAGTGGTCTCCTAGCAACCACTCAAAATTATACTTTCAAATCAGTAGTTCACTTTTTCATATTCTTTGACTCTTTAAAATGCTCACTTGTCAAAGTGACTATTTTAAAGTGACAACTCATATATTATATGTTATATAATAGTTATATAAAAAAATTATTATTTCTCTTTCCTTCAGCGCTGTTTACTCTTCCCGTGCGTGGGGGGCGCTAGAGATCATTGAGCTCTACGTTGCACGCTAAACGATCCGCTGAAGGAAGGTCGTTATATTTGGACAACGAGCTTATACAAATGGAGGAGTTGTTAAGTTTGTTGTACAAAAATGCATGTTGTTCATGCATAGAACAACAGTAATATATATTGAATAACACGGTTTGAAACTGTAAGCCGTAAAATGAGCACGCAGGCGTCAGCATCTGGATCCGTCAATGAAGCGAGAGGCAGAAGAAGTGCTCAAGATGTGGAAGACTCCAAAACACACTTCAGAGTCTGTCGGTTTATCATCGAGACTGGTATTTGCAGTTTTTCTGAAATTTTTAGAGATGTGTTTTAATCTCTCTAACTGTCTAAATTGTAACGTAAGGATGCTTGTTAGTTCATTCTCGTTATCCAAGGATGAATTGCTGTGCAGTTTGTGATCCCATGTGCATCCCGTGTTTTCCGCATCTGTAGGAGTGAAGTTAGGCATGAGATCTGTGCCCATGGCTACAGCATGTGTGCTGTATCACAGGTTCTTCCAGTCTGCCAGTCTGCAGGTCTATGAGCCTTACCTAGTGGCCATGTCTGCCATCTACCTCGCAGGCAAAGTAGAAGAGCAGCATCTCAGGACAAGAGATATCATCAATGTCTGTCACAGGTATGAGAAAGGATATTAAGTCACAGTTTAGTTCTCAGAGTTCATGTATAGTAGGTAATTTCCTCTCTTTTTCTTTGATCCAGGTATTTTCACCCAGAGAGTGAACCGATGGAACTGGATGGGAAGTTTTGGGAGTTGAGGGACAGTATAGTACAATGTGAGCTCCTTGTCCTTCGACAGCTTAACTTCCAAGTGTCCTTTGAGCATCCACATAAGGTAATGTATGCAATGATTACCTTGTTCTCAAGCTTTTAAAATAGGTAATAAACACTTCAGTTTTTGAACATTTTTAATGTTTTTTAAAGAATTCTCTTCTGCTCACCAAGCCTGCATTTATTTGATCCAAAATACAGCAAAAGCAGTAATGTTGTGAAGTTTATTATAGAAATTAATACTTTTATTTAGCAAGGATGCTTTAAATTGATCAAAAGTGACAATAAAGACATTTATAATGTTACAAAAAAACTTCAGTATTTTCTTCTGCTGGGTTCCAGGTCATATGGGTTTTTCTGGTAACGAGAAAGCAGATATCACTGCAAAGGAAGCAATCAAACTGAATATTTCCGAGTGTCAAATTCCTTTTTGTGATGTCAAACCTGTGATAAACTCTTATATTAATGACATGTGGCAGATGGAATGGGATAAATGTCATAAAAATAAATTATATGAAACAAATCCTTGTTTAAGAATTTGTTTTTTCTTTACTAATTTTAAATCTAGGTATGGCCAAGTTGTTTTTACAAGGTGTCTTTTAGTTCATACAAGATTTACACATGGATATTTATTAAAAGGTGAAGAACCACCATCATGCCTTACTTGCCAAACTAAAATGACTGTGAAACATATTTTATTGGATTGTACTGTTTTTAATGTAAATAGACAATGGTTTTATTCAGAGGTGTGTCTAACTGATTTATTTAAAAATGTATCACCTGAATGTATTTTAGAATTTTTGTCTAGTGTACATCTGAAATGTCTTTTATAACCTTTTATTAATTGTATACCTTGTATAATTTATTCAGAGATCACCATGAAAATAGCCTTGATGCTGGCATGGCGTTAAAAAGTGAATAAATAAATAATGTTACAAAAGATTTCTATTTCAGATAAATGCTGTTCTTCTGAACTTTCTATTCATCAAAGAAACCTGAAAAAATTCTACTCAGCTGTTTTCAACATAATAATAATAATAAATGTTTTTTTGAGCAGCAAATTAGAATATAATGATTTCTGAAGGACTGGAGTATTGATGATAAAAATTCAGCTTTGAAATCACAGGAATAAATTACAATTTAAAATGTATTCAAATAGAAAGCAGGTATTTTAAATAATAAAAAACCCCCACAATATTACTGCTTTTGCTGTATTTTGGATTAAATAAATGCAGGCTTGGTGAGCAGAAGAGAATTCTTTAAAAAACATAAAAAATCTTACTGTTCATAAACGTTTGACTGTCAGTGTATCTGTTGTCCACAGAAAAGAAAAACTGTATAGGTTTTGAAAAACAATGGCTGAGTAACAGAATTATAATTTTTGGGTGAATTATTCCATTAATGGCTGGCAGTGAACATTTTGCATGAACGGTTTGCAAAAAGCTTATATAATATATACTGTGCCTTGTGTGCAAAACAATATAATAGAAAATTATTTAAAAATATTGCTCTGCTGCAAACAATTTACAGTAAAAAAAACTACTTTTGTGAATTTAAATACTTTTAAATTTAAATTTTGAATTTAAATTGTATATATACCCAAAACTAATAAAATGAGTAAAGCACAGCAAAATGACTACAGATATAAATGAAAACTGAAGTATAAAAATAAAAGATAATGCAAAATATTAATTATAGTATATTAATATTAATTATAGTTAAAACTCTTATAGTATGTAAGTGCTCTAATACTGCTTTAAAGTGGCGTCACTGGCAGAGGTTCTTTATGCACAGTGTCAAGACTCGATGAATCAATTATTTTCATTCTCGATTGATAAAAATGTAATCAATTATATATTGTAAACTTACTCTCATCTTTGTACCTTCTCGAACTAATGCTGTCCAAAGTTTAATTGTATTTTGCTCCATCTAACAAACTTAATTTTGCTGTGTCCCAGTACGTGCTGCACTACCTGCTCTCTGTGAGGAGTCTTTTGAATCGCCACGCCTGGTCTCGAACCCCCATCGCAGAGACGGCCCTGGCTGTATTAAAAGACAGTTACCATGGCTCTGTGTGTGTCCGCCATAAGCCTCAACACCTTGCCCTCACCTCCCTCTATCTTGCTCTCCAGACATATGGAGTGCAGCTCCCCAGAGGAGAACTGGAGTGGTGGCAGGTAGGTGTTTTTTTTTTGTTTTTTTTACAGTTTCATGTGGAGAAAAACATAAAATGTCCAGGCAGCATTTGGGTCATGCTGTGTTTGCATTGAGTCACCGAGACTGAACGTTGACTAGTTTGAGTCTCACCGGTCCGGATCGGGCATCAATCGAGTCACGATTGCAGTAACCTTTAGAGTGCGAGAAGTAGTTCCCATGGCAATAAGGGCACCTAATGGCTGCAGCCTGGTCTGAGAGAAATAACATTGTCTTTCACACAAGTTGTGTTCCCTTGGTGACATCCTAAAGTAATATTTAAAAAGAATCAAACCATTTAATACATTTCAGTCTCTTAAAACCACTTGCTTAGATTAGCTTCAGTTTCCTAGAATCCTGTCAAGTGCCATCACTAGAATCCAATAGACTTAGGCCCAATCCCATTCTACCCCTTAGCTGTCTCGATTCTCTTTTGGTTGGAGGGGTAGGGGTAGCCCTTCAAACGAAGATTTTTCGGGACCACACTTCAAACGAAGGGGTATGAATTATCTCAGCGTAAACCGGCTTCATCGGCAACATGGCTGCCCGAACAAACAAAAAGACACATAGATGTAAGCATTTTTGGCATTGATAAAGATTTGAATGAAAAGTAATAATTTGTTTTATGTCACATTCAATCGTGAGTTCATATTTACGGTCATGTTACTCGAAGAAATGTTTGCAAAAAATTGCTAAAGTTTGCTAACGTCATATCATTGCTCCACGATAGTACCACAACATATTTTCATGTCTGATCAGGGCGATAACCAACGTAGACATTGAGGGGGCTAGTCTCCCCAATAATTAGACATCGCTAAACCCTTTTCTCAAATATTGCCAATTCGAGAGAGAGAGAGAGATGAAAGTTGCGTGTATGCGCGTCTGTGCGTTTCTCTTTTTAGAGTGAGTTTACTTCAAAAACAGCGATTTTATCCTCCTGTTGCTGGAAAATATAATGTAGCGATTCAGTATTTAAACTGTTATTAATAAAAGTCGTGGGGCAGCGTTTACAAGTTTCTTTGCTCCTGGATGTGAGCTGCGCGATCTCTGATGAGTGTGTGTGTGTGTGTGTGTGTCAGTAAGCATTAATATAGAACGGTAATTAAAGGCTCTAATGCGCACCAGTATAGGTGTGTGTATTGTAGGAGCTAGACGACGTATGATGACGTGTGACGGTATAGTAGTGGTGTCCCAATTCTTAGGGGGAATATTTTCACCCCTACCCCTTGACACTCTGTTTCAAGGGCTTCGTCATGCGAATTTTCCGCTCGAGTTGAAATGTTTTAACTTGCGCGGAAGACGCGATTGAGGCGAATATCGTGAGTTCGCGGCAAACGCGTCGCGCATTTCGCGTCGCCCGGCGAAGAAGAGAGCATCTGACTCGCATGTAAAGGGATCAACCTCAGTTTTGTTTTGTTTTACGTGGTTTTTAGAGTGGGTGTATCTGACATATGGCAAAATAATGGTGTGGAAAATCTATTCAAATCATTTTGAGGCAGTGTCTCTGCAATTGGTTGTACATCATAAAAAAAGAGAGTACTTTTCTTGTTTTGTCTAGACTTTGTTTCCAAATGGGGTGCTGAAAACCTGTGTGCAATATTAAGATAATCAATATATTAATGGTCAGAGTATTTTTATTCATTGTTATATTTGTTAAAGCTATGTTTTCCTTTTTATATTTCTAATTTATTTATATTGGCCAATATATTGGTTACAACTTATGAATGCAAAAATATATAAATACAAAATAAGGTAGTGGCCAAAACTGATGTCTGGCCTA